AGGGTGAAATACAACATTGTTATTACTTATTATGTCTAAATTTATGGGAACCCAACGAGGTATTGTAAAGCTAGTAATTATAAACCCAACATTGTTTATTTGTCAATAAACATTTTAGTGTCTCATAAACATCTAAAGGAAAAATATCATTTACAGACTTTAAGCATAACATAAACTTGTGCTGCTTTCTTCTTTAGCTTTTGAATTAAGGACTTTATTATGACAAATTAAAATCAAGGAAAGGAAATAGACAAAGGCCTTTCGATACACCATTTGTCCTTGTGATCAGGGCTTTAACCAGTTCGAATTTTTTTTTCCATCAGCCCAGGTTCATGATCAGACCTGGGGGGTGAGTGCTTGGAATCTAAGGGCAAATTTTTGTTATTTTCAAGCCTTCAAAAATGCAATTTCAAACATTTTGAGAGACAAATGTGGTTCAGAGTTTTTCCAAGATTTTTGTCAATTTGGTCCATGAAGTTTGGTTAAAAAAATTTTTTTTCTCACACACAGCAAAGTTCCTGCGATTGACAGAAAACTGGTGCTGGCTAGATCCCTGGTTGTGACACTAAGATTCTACCTATCCTAGCTTCTCGCTGTTACGCCATACAGGATTATCCGACCACTTATTTTCCGAGGCGCTACATTAACGACTCCCGGCAGGCTAATTAACCGCCACATCCTGGCAATCTGCTGAATTTTCCGAGCGCGTCAGGAGGTGCTGCTATAATTGGTTCGTTACGACGGTGCCAGCTGCTGATAAATTAGCTACAATTTTCACAGCTCGTTGGTCGCACTTCGTGACCAGGTTGTGTTCCAAAAAATTCAATCTACCGGAATTATTCAAATAGATCAAAAACACAAACACAAATCCACCATACAAATGTATACATGTCTACAGTTCATCATTTTAACTGGAAACACATCCATTATTGCATCAATTTCTATAAAAGAACTCAGAGTCAAAATTTTCATTGACAAGTGTAAAGAATACTAAAAAAAACGAAAACAATTATTGTTGAACCCCATAATTATCTCATATTAACCACATTTCGACTTTTATCTCATGTTCATACTTCTTTTGTGAGCATATCATGGACCTAATTTCAACTCTTGTGGATCCTAATTAGTCCCTACGGCTTTCAGTTCCTCTGTGGGAACAATTATGTTTCACATTTGCACTGGTTACAGCATTTTACAGTAACAGCCTGAGGTACTCAATGTTATCATGCAAGAAGTTATATGGAAATGTTGTCTCACAAAAAGCCATCATACATTTGTATGTACTGTCAGCAGTACTTGCTACTGAAACATCCTTGAAAAAGCATGAAACTTTAACCTTATCCCTGCTAAGGTTGTACCAAATCTGTGTTGGTTAGTGGTTAAGCAGCAGGTAGAAGGTTAATATGATTAAGAATAATGGAAATTTAACTTGAATGGACAATAGATATTCAGCTTTGACCAGATCAGTAAAGAGTTTTTCACGTTATAATCTGTCTTGGCTCCAGCGTTATGTACCTACTATGTACCTGCTATGTTCACTTATTCTATACCTTCATTCTGTCTTAGAGGAGAGAAGAAGAATACAGACCAACACCTGTGCATACAAATCAGTACTTTATTTCCATATTACTAAGTGCAGTTCACATTTCACAAGGATAGGGGGAGCTTTTATACAGCAGGGAATGGTCTCAACTATGCCAGGGGGAACAACCTTGGCCAAGACCCTGATCTTCATCCTAATATGGCAAGTCTCGCATTGCAACTTTTAAAAGTAGTGAATCCAGTCTTCCTCTTTGTATGGAAAACATGAAAGATTGGAGAAAACTCTGAAATAAAGTGACATGAAACAGTACAAAAGAGGAGAAATAAATAGAAGAAATCGAGAAAGGAAATTGTTCGAAACATGGAATTAGCGGAAGTTGTTAGTTTTCAGAAGGTTCCAGTATATGGAGTTAAGCACATAGATGCCATAGCCCCTACATGTACGTTCAGTAAAAGTCAATAATCCTAAAACAGTATGAAAGATTGGCACTATATTTTTCACCAGTTTAGTTGTGTTCCCTTCCAAATAGTAGTAAATACAGCATTTTGACACAAGTGCAGCAAGCAACTTACTCCAGTCAAAAATTCCAAAGGTTACCGTGAGAGTGCAAATTTTTGCAGTGCTTTACCTTCTTATGTACACACTCAGCAAAGTCAGCATGATTGTCAAGAATTAACATGTGTGCAGACAATGCTATGACTTATTTTGAATGAGATTCCGTTTTTACAGAAATTCTTCATTTAAACCATTTTTCTAATTCAAATAGCTGTGATATATTTTTCTTCAATTTGTTGAAAATACAGTATTTGACAATGACAGTCACGGTCCATTTTGAATGAAATTTGTTTTTCTACTGGAAATATTTCACTTTCCCATCGATACTTTTGACTATAGCTTAAAGTTTGAAGGTATTTTTCTTCTTCAATTTGTTGTAATACAGTATTTGATGAATACATGTAGGTTGTCGTTTCCGATTTTGTAAGTACGTAATAGCATTGTCTGCACATTTTACTAAGTATGAATCATCTACTGTTAAATTTAGCTAACACTTAGCCCCCAGTCTACACTAGGGTGTCTCAAAGCACAGTCTTCATGCACCGTATATTGAAATTACCACAACCAACATTGCTGCATTACTTCTCACTGCCTCACAGACTTATATACAACATGAACAATGCCTGACGCTTGCACACACTCAAATAGTACTCTACATTGTACAGTATTGTTCCGTATAGTAAGAAGCCATCGAGCATACCCTACAGTTACAACTTATTGCAATCCTATAGCTGCCCGAAACTACAAGATGAGATTTGTAATTCTTTTTTACCTACTGAGTGTACACAACGGTCTTTTATACAGTTTCACTATGTTCTACCTGCAATTTTGAGCACATCTTTCTGCTGGGTTCTTATAGTACGAAGCTACGTGGATTGAGTTATATTGAGTTACTACAAAATTGTACAAAAGGCACTCCAAACTATTTACAGTGTTCCGTGGTTCCGCTGGCTTTTGACAGTGTCTGTTACACTTCCAACTGTGTTTTTTGATCCAACACAGTTGTTACCCGAATAGGTCAGAGGTCATCAGCACAACCAATGACAAAGATTTGGCAAGACATGGGCAGTTACCATATTATTAGTTTCATACAGTTTTGTGACTGTAGAAATTTTAGCTGCAAGTACTGTATTGGTCTGTGACCTGTGAACTTTGACCTATTCGGGAGCCTTCTTATTAGAATTCTGTAACACCATCTAGAGAATATATAATATAGTTACTTTCAGAAACAAAGAAGGTAGTACAAAACTAGGTAGAAAAGTTGGATGTTCAGTAGTTCAGAGCGTTAAAAGTTTCTAATTCCAAGGACTCAGGAGGTTCAGTCGAGATGCGTTTCTGGAAGAATTGGCAATGATGAAATGACTTGGTTAGTGTGACTCAATAGAGAAATTCAAAGATCAAAAAAGGAAAATCTCATACAGAGAAAGAAATAGAATAAATCTTATACATGGCTAGGAAGATACACAGTACAAGAGGTGTTAGCCAGTTAGGAGACACTATCTAAGTACTATACAGCTGAAGAGAAAGATTGACCAATCACAGTTACTGAGACTGAGAGGAGGACCAATCGTAGCACATGAAGATGTTAGAGGTGGGCAACCGGTATTACGGACAGGTTGACCAATCACAGCACAGAGGGATGTCAGAGTTGACCAATCACAGTACAGAGAGGTGTCAGAGTTGACCAATCAGAGCACAGAGAAGTGATGCAGAGGAGAGATGGAAAGTGTGGGATGGGCTGGCATCCACAAGAGACGAGAGTCTTCTCCAGGTAGCTCCTCACGACAAGTACATCGGAGGTGGCTTGAAAAACGAAACAGCAACTCGTGAGCTCTCTGTCCGTTGCCATGGCAACAGGCAGGAAGCTTAGGTTCCACGACGATGCTCAAAAAATCCACGAGAACCGAAAAAAAGGCATGCGAGCGAGCGCGTTTTCCCTGTGGGCAACCACGTCGAGTGAGCCCAAGGGTTCCCTTTCCGTAATGCGTCCTACACCTCACAACACCGCTTTGTGTCAGGTTTTGAAGTTTGTGTGTACAGGGAAGGGAGGGTTTCTGGAAAAAACAGTGAGGACCCTTCCTCTGATGTTCTTTAGCTTCGCCTTTAGGTTACAGTATCTTGTCATCTCCCAATGGGGCTTAAAGTATTTATGGTTCATTTTGGCACTTAGTTACTGGCAAGAGCACCAAGAAGCACCCCAGATATTAGGGAAAAATTCGGATTGCAACGCTCATGGCAGGCAGCCCTGAAATCACAGCATGGCTGCAACAATTCAGAGCAAAGGCCCAAGGTCGGGTCATAGGTCAAGTTCACCTGCCATATAAGATGTGAAAGTTCAAAGGTTGCTACAGCATTGTGAGCTGTAGGGCATTTCGAAAAGGAGCCACGGACTCATGATACATTGACCAATCACAAGCGGTGTGCCATGCAGCGTCACTGAACAGTTAACCAATCACAGGCCACGAGACATGCATGTATGGTGCCGGGGGGGAGGGGGGGGGGAATAAATGCCCAAAAGCACGACAAAACATGCTGAAAATGATATTGCATGCTGCAACGGAAAATGCTGCGGAAATCAAAATGCGCAAAATATTCCTGCAGAACTGGTAGAAAAATAATGCAGCAACGCAAAGGTGTCCTCTCTCTTGACATGCCCTCAAACTGTCCTGTGCATTTGGCAGACACGTACTTTCTACACATACATTGAACTAACAACATCAACTAATGAGTACAAAAAAAGACACTGATGTAGTAACATCACATGAATCCAACAGCATTCCAAACAAAAATTTCAGGTATTTTTCTTTTAGCTGTTTATGTTTACATTCACCATGCAAACTACTGCTTCACAGTCAGAGTCACATGATGTTGTGTCATAATTAGAGAGAAAAGCGCCCCCTACCTGCTCGTGGTGGATCCACAGGTCAGGTGGCTTCACGTCCTTATGGGGCCCTTTCCTCTTCCCGTTGTCACGGCCCTTGTACTGTCCACGTTTCCTGAGAAAGAAAATAGTTAGTTTAAAACCTTAACCAACAAGATAAAGACAATAGATAAACTAGGAAGTAACACAATATGGTGACCAGCCCATCCAACTCAGTCCTGCAACTTGCTGCATAATGTGATCCAACACAACAACGTGTCTGCTACAGCACCATTCACAATGGTGACAGCCATCTAGTCCAGGTCATTAACCATGTTTGTTAGAAGAAAAGGAAACAGCAAAAACAATGTTTTCCTTCTGGGTAGATAAGCATAATCTAAATTTCTCTCACAATTCAGCACTACACAGTGCCAGTTTCAGGGTTAAGATGCTCGGATACGTACTTGTTCTTGTTCTTGTTGTTGTCTCCGTTGCGTCGCCTGCACAGGATGAAGGTCACGATGATGAAGATGATGGTCACCGTAACCGTGACGACACAAGCGATGATGATCCACAGCATGGTGTCAGTCAGTGTGAAGCCGCCAGACGATTGGTTGGAGGGGCTGTTGGTTGATCCTGGTAGAAAAAACAACTTTTTTTAGCATGAGCTGTTTTTGAGATGCTTCATGATCTGTATGAAACATTCCAAAATCATCTTTCATCTATGCACAAAAAAAAATTCAAGATGTAACAAATTGTTGAGACTTACTTCCAGCTCCTCCAGAATTGGGGACTTCGCCAACTTCACCCTCCACAGGATTATAGGACTTCCCTCCTAAAATGTGATGTATCATATCAGTACAAGATACCTTGATTCACAACAATAGATGAAACAGACTTCTCACTTGCTAAATATGTGATCTCAAGCTCTATGTATATATTAGGGAACAGCAATATTGTATAATACGATATGAAGCTGATTTGACACATAGTTCTACATACAATATGTGCAGAGTTAAAATATCCTACAACTAAGTATATGATGATATTTTCATGCATCAAAATAATACTAGTAGTGAGTGACTAGTTTTCAGTCTACAATGTTGGGGGGGGGGGGTCGATGATTTGAAGCCAAGGTTAGGTCTATGATGGGGGGCTGATACGATGAAGGTATGAAATATGGAAAACACTGTTTACATTTTGACTGTCACAAGGGTGATAAAAAAGAAAGCACAATTGTCATATTACTACAATTCAACAAAACAAAGTATATATTAAACACAAACAATAGGATACCCAAAAATTGCAAAGATTAGTTTGTACATGTGCATACAATTTTTTGTTTTGTATATTAACATTGTTGTATTGTGGTTTATAAACTGATGTACAATTTAGAGATGGGACAAGGGAACATTGGACTTTAATTGGTTTGATGTTAGTTAACTGGTACATACAACTTAATAACCTTGGTTATATAGAGTCAAGCCTTCAACCTTTATTAGTTAATACCTCCTTTTCTCATCCAGTTTATGAAAAATAAAACAAATTGATAAAAAAATTTAAAAGGTTGTGAAATTAGTGGTAGTTTGACTATGCTTCATAAACAGTTGTGTTAGCAGAAAATAGTTTATTAGGTTAGTGCTTTTTAAACCTGATTGTGCATAATTATTAGTAACTAATCCCACTTAGTTTATGAGTACGCAAACATGAACACAAAGCAGCTATGGCAGTCAGAAAAAAAATCTGAAATCCGGAACAACCTGGCGGCGTCTGGTATTCCATGATGGGTGAGATGGGCGAAATGCCCATAGAATTCCTGGCCTGTATCTTGAAGTAGTATTTGGTGTTTGGCGTGAGTTGCTTTACAGTGTACGTCAATTTGTCGCCCTCCATTATAGGGTCAAACACCCAGTCCGCGTCGTTCAGCAAGGGATCGGTCGTGTAGAAAATGATGTAGCCTAAAACGAAAGAACATAAAAAGGGGGATGCTACTTCTCATGGCAAAACAAAGAATAAGAGGGCTACGCCCATGAGGCGTCGCCAAAAACTGATCTGAGTAGACTAGTCATTTTTCTACCACACCTCAAAAGAGGCTCTACATGTCATAAAAACAGATCATCTACATGTATGTTTTAGACAATTTTGTATGTACATGTGTATATAAGAGAATAAAGAATATTGTGTGTGCTTCAAAGGCATTTTGTGTTTATAAGTAGGCAAGAGGTCCTTGATAAAGAGAGCTGTATGTTGTGTATTGTGTTTGTTATAGCAGAAAAGTGTCTGAGAGAGATGAAGCAAAAGACAGCTTGAAATTTCACATCATACTTTTATTTGTTTTGCGATGAGCGGCCCGTGATGAGTGTGTTTTAAGAGAAAATACAGAAAGGAAGACACATCATAACATGACCAGACATGGTGCAATAGTTTCAAAGAAGAATACAGTATAGGCAAGATGAAAACAAAATCATTTAGAAGTTATATATCAAAGCCTGTGTGACAATAGGCAGAAATGTTTCTTTCATGCGAGTGGCATTAGTTGCCAAAAAGTGGCACACATCCAAATGTACCTCCATAACCATGTCCCCGTAAGGGATAACAATATGTCACATGTACATGTACTATATCTACAGCATGTTTGAATTAATGGGCATGCCAACTTTTGGCCAATTATCAAGCATTTTGCTAACAGCCAATGGAAAATGTTGGGACAACCACAGTGATTTCGCAGAAAGCCCAGCACGTTTACGTGAAACATTTTGTGAAATCACTATCTAATTCCAATCTATCATTTTCCCAATCTGAGGACAACACAAAAGTCTGGCCTAGCTTTAAATATCTTCTTGTAATGATGACAAATGACGAAGTTTTCGCAAAGCAACCCCAAATCTACAGGGAAAAGCAGACGCTAACTCTAAGGAGTGTTCAGCACATTTTCTTTCCAATCTGAGTGCAGCACACAGAACTGGCCGACAATAAATGACAGATCCTAGCACAGTGACACCAAATCTACAGGGAAAATCATACTGTAACTCCAAGGAGGATGCAGCACATTTATTCTCAATCTGAGACTTGCACACAGCTCTGGCCTGGCTTTAAATGTCTTGCAATGAATGACAGATTTCTGCCCAGTGACACGAAATCTACAGGGAACATCATACTCCAACTCCAAGGAGAGTACACCACATTTTTTTCTCAATCTGAAGCCTGCAGTGAATGACAGATCCTAGCACATTGACACCAAATCCACAGGGAAAATCATACTCTAACTCCAAGGACAGTGCAGCACACTTTTTCTCAATCCGAAACCAGAACACAGCTCTGGCCTGCAATGAATTACAGATCCTAGCACAGTGACACCAAATCATTTCTTCTCAATCTGAAGCCTGCAGTGAATGACAGATCCTAGTACATAGACACCATCTTTACAGGGAAAATCATAGTCTAACTCCAAGGAGAGTGCAGCACACTTTTTGTCAATCTGAGACCAGCACACATCCCTGGCCTGGCTGTGGCTCTCCTGTTGATTCCCTGCACAGATACAGGTCTCCTAACTGACAGAGATGGATGGGCGAATCAATACCCCTCCCATGCGTGAAAGTGGAATTCCAAATTATCCCCCAACCTGTATCCCTCCAGGTCACACGATAAGATGTGTAGCTGAATCTCGCCGAGAACATCATTTTTTTTCTGGCTCAAGATCATTTTTTCTGGCTAAAATTCTCTGACACCTTCTCCCTGAGAAATTGGCCAGGCTGCTGGAATTGGAACTTGGGAGGACTTGTAGGAGTTTACAGTGAATGTGGCTTTGATACTGCCCAGGGGCTTAACTACAGCATCTCAAGGACAGGTTTGAACAACTTAGATTAGGAACGGTGTGCCTTTCGATCGAAAAAGCTAAATCCAAACAAATGAAGGAACACCGGCAACTATCGGTATTCATGTTCACAAGGTGTTCCATTGTTATTCACAGTTGTAAGGTTACATGTAAACATGTGTATGAGATATCTGTAAAAAAAATATATGCCACTCATCAAAACGACATAGCTGAATGAAAAAAATGAGTTGAAAAACACTGTAAATCCTTAAATATTTACTGCATTTCCAAGTTTTTTTTATTTTCGTCCTCACACACTTAGTAAATGTACACCCATAAAACAGACTTACAATGTAGGTGTCAGCTTTTTCCATTGAGTTGCTACTATTGTTTCAAACTTGAACACAAACTTTAAGATATGATTAGGCCTGATTGAACGTCTATGATTTAAAGTATGTGTTTACCACTGAAAGTTATGATAACATGTTAACAGTCAAGAAATATTGATACAAATTGCAGCAGATGTTAGAATTTTTGTACAATTTGCTCTGACTCAGCTCAAACCTCTGAGCCAGCGAGCTCAGACAACCAAATGATGATAAATGACGCGGAGAATCCGAGCATATAAAAACTTGTCTCTACCAGTATCAAATCTCGTCCTTTCATAATTAACAGAGCCCTTTGAGACACATCACAAACAACAAGAACAGCATGAAATTAACACCACAATTATTCATTAATCACACTTTTAAGACCCATTAGTAAACATTGTTTTCAAGATGCTTTCTATGGGTCAACTTTAATATGTTCTTCAGCGAGTAAAAAGGAATGTAAGTACCATATAGATCTATTTTCATCACTTATTCCAAGTAAGCGCCCCTGACAATGAGAAATTGTAGGATTTATTAGACTTTGCCGAGGGACCTCACCCAATTTTAGGCTGCGAAAAATCAATGGTGAAGTATAGCGGCCATGTTTGTCTATGTCACAAACTGTCAACACCCAGAGTGGATGGTTCAAAGCCTGGTTAAAACTTGAAAAACTCTTGAGGTAAAAAATCTGTTTTGAACAGTGTTCCTTAGACTGGATACGTCCATCAAAGAATAATTTTCAAATAGAAGAAAGACCAACTTGAAAAATGTCTGGCTTTCTTCTACTTGGTAAGAATCAAGTTGGACAGTGAGGATGAATCCTAGTTTGCTGTAGTTCACAATGCAATCAATATTATGATTTAGAGATGTGTATGCCCAAAATTGTTATATAATAACCAGGCCATGCTTAGGATAAAACAAAAACAGACGCATTTGGTATTTCTGATTGACAGAGGTAATATGAAGTCTTGCTGTGAAGTAGAACCCTGGTCCCTGGCTGAAAATTATCACTACACACCTAATCAGCTTGCACTTTCATCCAAAACAGGTTCATGCTGACTCCCAATTACTGAATATCATTTCTGATTAAGTTTAACTGCTGCTACTGGTTTATATGCGTCTGCCTTTTAATCCAGTTTTAACATAGCTGAGACACATGTACAGCGAGACAACTGTACATGTAAATCCATTTTACTTTTACAGTGGTTTTATTTTTAAGTAGGATTGCAGGGAAAGTATATTGTTGTTGCTTGTGGGTGCATGTTCAAGTTTATTTACTTTCATATATCATAAGAAATTATGAAGGATGCTTGATAAAGCAACAAAAATATAGAAATATTTAATATTCAACATCAAGGATGAAAGACTTCTAAAAAGGCCCAAATGCACACAAATTGAGTTGAACAACAGAAAGGAAACTAGAGAAGATTTAAAGAAATTCAAATGTCTGAACTAGGCATGTAATGGACAGGGACAGTACGGAGAATTTCACAGGTGCACACGATTGGATAAGAACAGGTGGGGGACTTGTAATCTGCAATACGATTGGTGTGAATGACTGGACAGGGACAGTAAGGAGAATTTTCGACAGTGATGTGACTGGTGTAGATGATTGGTCGTGGAAAGTAAGGAGAAATTCACAAGTGATCAGAGAAATGTACATGATTGGACAATGTGAGAAAGGAGAGTTTCTCCTGCAATCTGATTGGTGTTCATGGTATAATGGAAACAGTAAGGAAAATTTCAAGTAAAAATAGCAAAAGCACATTGTTGGGTTGGATGGTAGGGAGAATTTACCTGTGATTGGGCCATTGGACTTGGCAGGAGGCTGCCAGTTGAGATTCACTCCTCCCGGGTTCCCCTCAATTCCCACAACTGTCAGGTCTCTAGGAGGGGACTTAGGCTCTGTGGAAAGAAATTCACAACATTTAAGATTACCGCATAAATATTTCTTTATTTACTGTACAAGTATGTGTTTTTAAAATTGATCTATTGATGATTAATCCATACTTACTGTCTTCAAAAGTCCTGTTGTTGACAGTCATGCTGTAGTCGCTTTCCTGGCGCCCTTTCGTGACCTTGACAGCAAACTCGTAGCGCGTGTAAGGCTTCAAGTCCGTCACAATATACTCCAGACTGGTGGCATTTGCATAGAAATACTTGCTGGCAGGGAACAGTGACATCCACCTATGCAGAGGTACAGAAAATATAAGGTTTGTTGTTTAATAGGGTATCATATACACCATGCCCACTAGCTGTCAAGATTACATTCACAAATGACTCATAAACTGATGGCCGTATGTACCAACTACAAGTGCTAAATATCATCTAATACCAGCCCAGATGATGCCTTCAAATATTGGAGTTATCGACCAAAAATTGAGGTGACTGTTCAAAACTCATATTTTCCAAGAGCTATCATAGAGTGGAACTCACTGCTACCAAGTACATTTGGGGCATCATCACTAGAAAGCTCTAAAAACTCCTGCAGTTAGATGTGCAAAGATTGAGTGTAACAGGTCGTTTGGTGTAATAGACCTAGCTGCCGCTGTGGCGTTTGCCTGCAAAGCTGGTGTGTTACACCGAAGGGCGTTTACACAAGCTATAAAGATACAGATACAAATGGTCTCATATTCAGTTCTGTTCTTCTGTCAGTGAGACATTAAACATTAACAAAGCTGTACAGTTATTGTTATACGACTTACCTAACAGTGTAGTATCGGTTGTCGGTGATCCGGTTCCGTGTCAGAGTCGTGTCAGCCCAGGTCACCTTGGCAGCCTGCGGCGACTTGACCTCCGCCTTCACGCCAACAGGTGGCATCATGGGAGTGGTTGGCTCAGGGGCTGATGGGAAGAGTAAAGCATTATGGGATGTACCAGACCAGCATCCATTTGACTTCCTTTTCCTCACTCTGAGACTATTTGGGCACTGAGGATTTGGTAGAGATCTTGGACTGATCTTAAAAGTTTTTCAAGGAATAAGCAATTAGGTAACTTCATACTTCATCAGATGGCAAAAGGAGATTGTAGATCTTCAATAGTCAGATCATTCAAATATGCAACAAGATGGTTTCTAGATGTATAAAAATTTTTGTTCTCATGTGATAGACACATTTTAGAAGACGTTTTGCAGGCCAGTTTGCAGTTTGCCACATCTTTTCTTCTTAAAATTACAATATCCTACTTATTTCATCACACTTCGTCTGTGTATCTGTATCTGTAAATCTATGGGAGGAAAATGTCCATTTATTTGATAAATTATAATTCAAAAGGCTTTTCAAAGTGGACCACAAATTTTGTCAAACTTTTTTCCAAGCACATGCAACCTGAATCTTTAAGGAGGAAACACTTGCGCTGGCAATAAGTGTAAAAGAAATATGTATGGGAAATGGAGGATCCACATTGAAATGTACAATCCCCGTCTGACCATCTGTGCTGGAGGCAGAAAGACAGCAGAGAAGAGACAGAGGAGGAGGAGGAAGAAGTAGTATATAAGGCACAGCACGGTTCAAGATACGCAGGAGGGCAACTTACTTGTCATCAGCTTTTTTACCGTCCTTTCACTCGAATCATCATCGTTATCTGTCTCGACCTCTACGGGGTTAGCTTGGATTAACGAGAGATTGAGCAAGGAAGGAGTTAACGAGGAGAGAGGCAAAGTCAGCCGGGCTTGTGACTGTGAGCGGGTTAGCAGTAGTGCTGCATACCTAAACCCAATTTTAGGTTCAGGTCCGGATTCAAGTCCAGAGGTTTAGGTTCAGTTCCGGACTTGTAAGTCCGGACCTAAACCCATGGCATATACAATATTGCATGTTGGCAACCCTGCAATGTTGTCTTGGTGAAACTTTGGCCACATAACATGGAGGCCGGTACTTGACGATGCCCGATGGCAATGTTTCTTCATTTTGCAGCAAAGACTTTGCAATGTACGGAAGGTTTTAGGTG